ACAACCCACTCTACCTCCTGAGCCACAGCCGTGTGTGTCCTCTTGCTCAACTGAACAAGTCTGTGGTGTCTGTCTTGAAGAAAAGAAGCAAAATGTCATTGTTCTCACAGACGTTTCAACTTTGCCCCTCTCGCTGTCTCCCTCTTTCATCTGTGTGTGTGTGTGTGTGTGTGTGTGTGTGTAACTCATCCTACTGTACCTGCATTCCCCGTCATATGATAGGTAGCTATCCAGATTACCAGGTGCCCCTCTAAGCCAATAAGACACTCGCTTTGTTCCAATTATGAGATAATCATTACAGTGTCACGCCGCGCCGCTGAGGGAGCATAGACATAGTTTGTCAAAGGAAACACAACACGGTCCATTTCTGCCTGTGCGACAGTATCACTGATAGCAAATCCAACACTAGTGCATGGAAGAGGGGCCACTACCAGTCGTTGGTACCCACAAAGTTGGTTCAACCAGGAAGACATTTCAACTTTTGTTTTACTCCTTAGTCGGAGCTCGTCTTCCTTGTGAGACAACGCTGCCTAAAGATGGCGTCCCATTTGTCTCTGCATCAGTATCGCTCTCCGTGGGACCAGGTCAGGTGCCAGGCTTTTGCAGAACACCATGCATGAGTCTGGGTGGGGGGCCGGGGATGCCAGAATTTTGGTGTCTGTGTGTGTGTGTGGGTGGGGAGGGGTTGGCGGTGGGGGGCATCGCCAGTTGGCAGGCGGGCACACAATGGCTGGCACGATAAGATCCTCCCTCTTCTGCGGGCAGATTTCCTCGCCCATATCTTTTGTTTGGCTTGTTTGGGTTGCAGCTCATCCTGATAAAGGCCACTTTGTTTAGACAACAAAGCGTGAGGGTGGGAGACAAAGAGGTAGATAGAGGAGAGAGGGGTATTAAGAAAAGGCAGCGGGGGGGCAGCGCAGATGGAAACATTAAAAGAAAGAAAGAGCAACGTGTTTAAAAAAAAAAAAAAAAGGAGGTGAGAAAGAAATTCCAAAAAAGATATAGTGTGCACTTTTCCCTGGATAAGGCGATATCGTCACAGATACACACTGAGGCGGGTATGAAAAGATACAATGGAGGACGGATACTGTTGCAGGCACAGGGACAGCGATAAACAGATAGCAGGAGAAGAAAGGAAAAGATTTGGAGAGGAGAACAGGTTCTGCCAACTGCTGGAAGCCGGCCGAGCGCTGTGAGGTCATCGACAGAGCTGCACATGAAGGAAACCAGGAGCAGAGGACGACGCGGGACAAAGTACACACGCATGCACGCTCACATTACATACCGGCACATGTACAGTCATTTATGCATATTGTCAAGACTTGCATGACCTCACACACACAGACACACAAACATTTCAGCTCTGCATTCCCAAGGAAGGACGAACTGGAGTCTCCTGCAGGGGAACAGGAAAGAAAAGCAGGAGGACACCGAGCAGACTTTCTGCTCGGCCACATCAAATATTTACTCAGGAGCAGCTGTATTGTCGAAACATTACACATCGGAGCTGCTCCGTAATTAGGTTGATATTTTCTGCCCCTCTCCCTCTCTCCGTTTCCCTACTTCTCCAGGAGTCCACCCCTCGCCACCTCTCCTCCGCACCCCTCCCCTCACCCCCCAGGCTGCTGAAATGCATCTTGGCTCAGGACCCATGCCTCTGGCAGCCAGAGCGCTATACATGTGCACAGAACCCCGCTCGGCATAAAATGGCTGCCAGACAGGCTTCTCCTCCTGAAATGTCGACAGCGGTATGCATCTGCAAGGTGTGCGCGTGACGCGTGCACACTTCTATTTTGTGGAGCGTATCTGTATGTGTCTGACAGCGTTTGCAGACTCAGAACGGCCCCTGTCAAAAAAAAAAGTTTCCCAAACTATGCGGCTGATTTAATCCACACTGTGTGTATGTGTGTTGTAGAGTTTAGTGGGAACAGAGGAGGTATGGTGCCAAAAAATGAGAGGGTGCTTAGGGAGAGTGTGTGCGAGTGTTTTAGTGATTATAAAACGCAGGCGAGCTGGTGTGGACAAACCTCGAGCACTGAGAAACTTTGCTGCCGAGCCAGATTTTCTGTTGCCATTACCCCTAATTGCCCTAATCGTTACAGTGGAATGATAAGTATCAGGAAGGTGTAAGAGCTTGTGGACACGTCCAAAATACCCACAAGCCCCTTTTGTTACTTCTTTCCTTGCTCTGCTGAGCAACAGCAGATAATGTGATTTATACGTGGGGCTGTTTTTTCACTTCCTTCATGAAGCGGTTTGTTTATTTAAACAAGTGGCAGCGATGGAGGGTGCAAAGAAATGTTGTCTTTGGAAAAGGGCCGTGTTTCTGTGTGTGTGGTGTCTGGTCCTGTCAGCGAGCCCTGCCAAGCTCCCAGGGCAAAGCCCAGCCTCCTCGGCCGCAACTGTTTATTTACAGGTTACACCACTGTTTATTTGGAGACTGTGAGATTGGCCGGCTTCTGCACAGGACACCTTTCAGACCCAGATACCAGGCTGCAGGCTCCCTGCCCCTCCTGTTTACTTCATCCCAGCCACTTTCTGAAAAAAAAAACACAGTGTTGATTTATCTGCACTTAAATTGAAGTTTTATAATCCATAATTATCTTTCTTTCCCTTGTCCCTAATTTAAAGATGAGGTTTTATTTGAAGACCTGTTGAGTGACAAAACAGACTAGATTTGAAATGAAGCCTTTGATAAAACGAGCACACTGACAGATGTGCAAGCAGCAGACTGAGTAAAGTAAACACCCTGGAAGAAGAAGGAAAGTGAAGCGTCTTGGGTCAAAGGTAAAATGCAGTGTGATAGGGGAGGTGCTTCCAGCTTGGGCGCAGGCCTGGCAGATGCGCCATATGCTTCCATCCCACCTTGAGTCATCCAGGTGGTCTCTCCTGGTGCTGCAGTGGCGCCTCATGCTGGAAGATGCTGCCTGGGATCTCTAATTGCCACGACCATCTGCTCTTTTTGTCAGGGCTGCCTGTTCAGACCTCACAGAAGAAGCAAAAAAACAAAAAACTGTGATCTGATCGAAATAAACCGTCACACCTCTCCCACTTCTTTCCCTCCACTCACCACCTTGTCAGTGTTTACTTCTCTGCTCCACCCCCCCCACCCCCCAACGTGGAGTTAGTGGTCGTAACTAGACTGATGGATGACTCTGAAAGTGGCATTGTGGGGGGGGCAAGGCCACGGAGCTCCCTGCAATCACTTTATGAACATGCGCTGTGCCAAATCCACACAAACCTCGGCTCGCCCACAGAAGCTGCTGTGTGTGTGTGTGTGTGTGTGTGTGTGTGTGTGTGTGTGTGTAGGGGGCGACCTCTGGGGAACCGTGTGTTCTGCTGAGGCCAGACACCGACTTGAACAAGTTGCAATAAAATACAGATTTTAATACTGAGCAATGTCGGCGCTGATCAGACGCTGAAGTCAGGGACAGATGCCAGTGAATTTCTGCTTCCAGCTTCTCACATGTGAAGAGTTGCTGCTTTTCTGTTTCCTATCATTTTAAATTGAATATGTGTTGAGCAGACAAAACAAGCAATTTCAAGTTGTCAGTGTGGAGCCGCTCTGTAACCTCGTGAGAAAGTAGAAGTCAGGCTTGTGTGTTTTAGGAGGCAGAACAGAGCTGCACTGTAACTTGTATGTGACTCGTGCGTTTTTAGGGCCAAGCATACTGAAGAGAAATGATTTTTTTGGTTTGTTTTAATGTATGGTCCTGTTCCCTCCCTACTTTGTCATTGTTGAGCTTCGGCCAAGAACATTCTGTTTTTGCAGAGCAGTTTAATAGTCAAATTTAGAAGAGGGGGGACACGAGAGACAGAGACAGAACCAGAAAGGAATAAATCTTTCAACTCTCTCCGTTGCCTCTGTAACACAGCTCATGAGAGCTGCGGCAGGAAGAGGGGTGTTGTTGCAAGGCGAGGGTATCCGAGTTCACTGTCTCTGCCTACTTGTCTCGGGTTAAAGGCAGAGCTGATCATCTCCCAGCTGGTTCTCACTGAGCCCTCGCCACCTCGGGCTGGTTCCACTCCCCGTTGAGCACGGCAGCAGCTCGCTGCAAGGCTGGCTCTCTCACACAGACACCATTCCTGTTTGCTTCGCCTGAAATCACTGATTTATGTTTGTAACAGTGATTTGTGAGGTTTCACAACTTCTGCTGTCGCTGTCTGCGATCAGCCAGAGCAGGAACCGCCGAGGAGCGATAGATTCCCCTTCCCAGCAACGCCTGGAGGTAACGGACGTCACACCACAGCCTGTGCACCGTCGCTGCTGGAAAGAATTTCACTGATATTTCCCCGCCCCTCCTGTTCCCTCTCCGCATTGTGTTCTGTGATTATACCTTGCACAACAGGACCGAACACATTCTGAACCTCCCCCAAACACTCCCTCAGCCCCTTTGAAACATTACCCAGAGGTCTGCCGGTAACAGCCTTTAGACTCTCCCGTGTCGGACCCAAAGCTTTTCCTTCAGTTTGTCTTCCCATTAATGATAATACTGTTCAAACACAACTGTCTTGTTTAACGTTCAGAAGGTGTGCGCTCCCTGACTCACAGATGAGGAAACAGCTGAGCTGAGGAAACAAATGCTCTTTGCTGTTTTGACTAAAGTTACTTCTTTCAGATTAACAGGGACCTCAGTGAGTTTGTGGTTCGACCATTTGTGAGACACAATGCTAATAAAAGTGCTTTATGAGTAAAGTAAAAGTTCTGTTTTACTTGTTACAGGTTTGCCCCCCCGACGTGGGGAGTTATCTTTGCTGCCCACGTTTCAGTTAGATGAGATATTGTTGTCCTCGTGCTACAGTAACCCCCTCCCCTCCTCTCTGTGTGTTTGCAGACTCACAGCAGTCAGGAAGTCCCAGTAACAATGAGCAAGGCAAGAACCCTCTTCCAGGTATGTACAGTAACTGTCGTCCTCCCCCTCCGTCCTCCAGTCAGTGCTCTTTGTTCCTCTGCAGCTCGCCCACCGTTCGCCGGCCTACGTAGGTCACAGGTCACCTAGCTTGGTGTTGGTCTGCTGCTGTGAACTTGGTGACTTAAACTAGAAAAGGCTTGACTGTGAAGAAACAGCTGTATGTGGTTGAAGGGGCGCCACACGGTCCACAAAACCATGGGATATTCAGCTAAATGAGACGCTTCCACCAGTGATTCAACTGCATAAAATGATAGTGGTGGAGGAAGTAGTCTGATCCCGTACTGAAGTGGAAGTAACGGTGTAAAAACACTTTCTTACAAGTAAAAGGATTAGCATTGTAAAAGTAAAAGTGCTCATTATGCAGAACGGCACATTACTGTACAACTATACTGTATTTTTTAATGAATCTAGTTCTGAAAAGTAACTAGTAACGAAAGTTATAAAATAAATGTAGTGACGTCAAAGTATGAAGTGGCACAAAATGAAAACACAAGTAAAGTACAGATACCTCAAAACTGCACTTAACTACAGTACTTGAGTAAATGTACTTGGTTACATCTAACCAGTGTCAAATGCCACAGGACAAACTAGCTGAACTGACACTCAGTGAAAAATAAAAGCCATCATTCAGCTTGTGTGTGACATCTATTGACTGTCTCTGTAGTTTTTAACTTTGTATGAGCCGAGGAGGAATAAAATTTAATTGGATCATTAGATTTAAATCATCCTCATCCCAGTCGAAACATCAAACACAGGTTTTTAAAAAGAGAGACAAAGCCACTCGAGACCTGGAGTGATACTGCTGGAGCAGGTTGCACCTTTGGCTGGTAGCTGAGCCAGCACAGCTGAATGTTCTCTGGACTGACCTGCACCGTGTCGTCACAATGCTGGCATGAAAACACTTTGAGGAGTGTAATTAGTTTTCTACCTCAAGCAGGTTCTGCTGACGCGTGTGCCAATGAAAACACACTGGTGAGCCGGTGACTCAGGCCTGGGAGGCCCTAGGCAGTGGCACAGTTTCCCACTAAAGCTGTTGGCTCATGCAGACCTGAGGCGCAGTAGGTGCCGGTCGAGCCGCGGCATCCATCTTTCTGGCATGGCCAGAGCGCCCTTGGCATCTCATCAAAGCCGAGACAAGGTCACCTGGGTGTCAAAAACTTGTCTGGGTGTTTTAGTTGACTGACAGCCCGGGATTAGTCCTGGGACGGTCAACAGAACATACAGGACGTCTTAAAGGCTCCGGGGGGAAAAACAATCACACATCACCATTATCGTCTGTTTATTGATATTGGCTCTTTCTTTTCAAATGGCTTTTAAAGCAGATATTTCCTGCTAGTGTAACAGTTTCAGGATTGACAGTTGTGTGTTTGATCAGCTAGGCAGCGCCTGCGGTTCGTTACACTCGTGGCTGCAGGAGTTTGATCCTGGCGATGTGTGGCTCCGCCTCCTGTCACACCTGTGCTGTCACTCTGTGCTGTTAGTTTAACCCAAGTGTTTTTCATTGTGCACTCATCATCGAGTGAGTAAACCACAGCACAGATCTCATGAAAAAGTTTTGATTTTAATACTAAGGTGTTAGTGTCTAACTTCTATACCTGGTTATTTGTCAGCTCATTGTAGCACAGAAGTTAAAAATACAAAAGAGAAACGTGGGAAGATAAAAGCGATGTGGAAATAGCACATGAAAACAAGACATTAGGGTTTTGTTTATGGGATTCAGACTAAAAGATAAAAAGATACTGCACACTTTCATTTTTTACACTTTATAGGTTTTACTCTAAACATAATGGAAGGAGCACAGACTAACAGTTCTTTAGCTTCTTCCATGTCAAATCATTAGTTCTAAGGTTTTTGTTCATTTCACTACAAACTCAAATGCTATTCTTCATGTTTTCTAGTAATATGTAACATTATGGTATTAAAGTGATATGTCCCTGTGTCTACAGTCTACTTGGAAGACAGCTTCATCAAATCAGGCGTCTTCAGTGTTACGGAGCTGGTGCGAGTGTCCAGAAGTAAGTCATATTATAATTTTACGCCCTTGTAAACAGCGTGCATGAGTGCACAGGTGTTTCAGTCATTCTTTCACTTATCACTGGTTAGACCTTGGCTCAGGTTAAAGCTGGGCGGAGCCATGCCTGGAACCATGAGGACGCCAAGGTCCTACAAAGATGAAGGTGCAAGTTTCCTTCTCATAACGGGTGCGACCGAGATAACGTGAGAGTCAGGGGCATGTCAGTCAGTCTGCGTGTACACGCCCACAGTGTCACAAGACGAGGTCGAACAGGTTATTTAACTGAAAATCTGTCCTCATGTGTTGCTCCCAGTTGTTTCTGTGGTGAATGAACAGTAACAGCTGATTCATAAATATAAGTGCCTTTATCCTCAACAGGCAACAAATGCTTTAACTTGCAGCTTTTCCACATTTCCCACCCTCTGAAGATTTACTGAAACCCACAGTCCAACTGTAGTGTGGTGAATCCAGTTTGGCCGGTCTGCTCAAACCGGAGAACACTTGACTGTGCAGCTGTCTGTATGAACCTGTGTGCATCTGCACAGACATGTTTGCCCTCTGCTGAGCCGTTGACAGTTGGGCGTCTAGGAGTGCTCTTGCTCTGAAAGCTGAGGGCGCCCCGAGGTGCCGTTTACCTGCAAGGCCTCTGAGCTGGGGTTGTAGGCCTGTGCACAAAGACACCAGCCACCCAGAGTAACGCCCGTGTTTAAAACAGCCATGTCTGTGGATGTAGCAGTCAGTTTCTGGCTGGTTTTTAATTTCTGTTCACTTCTGCAAAACCTAGCTTGGAGCTGCGGTGGACAGCTGAATATAAGCAGCTGTTTCAGTCGTTTTTCAGGCAAAAACTGCAGAAAATCTTTAGTTTCAGCTTCTTGGATGAGAGGACTGCTTCTTCTTTTTGTCACATATGACATTAAATTGGACTTTTGACTGTTGGGCAGACAGAAGAAGCTAATCAAAGACCAGGTGCTGAATAACAGTAATAATAGTTGCAGACCTGGTGCAGATCAGAACTGAAGTAAGTTTGAAGTCAAGACAAGGACTTTAATCCATCAAAATAGGCAATAAACAACATAGAATATGTGTTTCTAAGCATTAAAGTGATGATCCGGCTCCTTGGAGGGGAGGAGGTACAGATAAGTCAGTGATTTCACATTAGCATTTCCTTTCTTGGTGCTTAAACACAGGTTTTTACAGTCGTCTACAAGGATCCTGCTAAGCAGCCGTTAACATGTTCGGACTGGAAGCTACAAATATTGTTTAATGCTGCTGATCCTGACTTCTGTGTCTGATGTAGGAGCACGGACTGAAACGTAGCTCCTACTTGTTTCACTGCTCAGAGAAAGACTGTGTGTTTGTTTAGTGTTTAATTTGCCCCCAGACCAGATGGCTGGTGCGCTCGCTCTCATGCGACCAAGCCGGTTTCACTAAAGCCGAGCTGGAATTTTAAAAAGGTCGACGAGCGCACAGAATTGTCACTCACTCAGCCGGTCACTCCCTGAGAAGATATCTAAGCAGCCGCTCGTCTGTCATCGCACTTCTCTCCCAGCTCTCCAGGCTGTTGAGACATTCTTTGAAGTCCATCAAAGGGAGCTGTAGAGTTCAGGGCCAACTCGCAATGCAGCATTTCGACCAGGGCACTCATTCATGCAACAGGAGCCTCGACTACAAAAGCACTTTTTGGACAGAACATGTCCATGCACAGTCAGCTTGATCTAAATAGAACATGGTACATTTTCCTCCCTTCTCCCCTTGTACAGTAAGAGGAGGTGCCCTGTGTGCAGCTTCGCCGTTTCATTCATGGTGCTTTTTAAGCTTCAAGCCAAAGCCCAGATTATTAATGAGATGATTGGCAGGGCGGCCAAGTGGCTTCACAAATACTGTGCAAAGCCAAGAGGAGAGAGAGAGAGACGGTTGGGGGTGTTCTCAGCCATGAATGAAAAGCTATGGTTTTGTATTCAGTGTCCTCAGGCCGGATGCATTCCTCCACAGACAGCTCGGTGTGGGTAGCAGCGGGTAGGGGCCTGTGCCAGGGCTACAGTGGGCTGGCTGGGTGGAGGCCTGGCGCAGGGATCATGCCAGTGGTGAACCTCAGACCACAACAGACGGCGCCACACACTCCATCCTCTCATCGAGTCCAAACCAAGCAGCCGCTCGGGCTGCGGGCTGCCTCACGGGCCACACACTGAAGAGGGAGAGATGGGAGAGAGGGAGAGAGTGAGGATGGGTGGCGAACTCTTTTTGTTCTGTAAACACTGGCCTGGCCTCCCTCGAAACAATATCCCTCACCTCGACCGCAGTGAGAAAAACAGCACCTCATCCACTGTAAATCACTGTGTGAGGAAACGGCTGAGTATCACAGTGGACTGTAGCGAGGTGAAGGGCTGAGTCCGGTTTAGAGTTTATACAGGTGACTCTGCCTTGGCACCAAACCGGGAGTCACCAGAGCAAACAGGAACATATTTCACAGTTGTAAATAATCCTGCTAATTACAATAACAATAATTCAGCATAGAGCCTAATAAAAAGATTCATCCACTCGTAGAAAATGCACTCGCAGGTTGCTGTTGCTTGACAGTGCTCTTGCCCGCAGCCACAACCAGGCGAGGAACGGTGGCTTGTTAATCAGAGTGCTCAGCAGAAATGCCGGTGATGGTCGGACAGTTAACCTGAGAATAGGGAGTGCTTAATTTGACACACGGTGCCTCTAGACGCAGAGCGTGAGTAACAGTCAGTCAAGCTATTTGCAATTAATTGTGCGTCTCTAGATGCAAGGATAGGGGACGACACAGTAATCCGTCTGACAACACTGCTGACACTGAACTTCTTCTGTGCAGTGATTACAGCATAATCGCCTCTCTGTGTCCTCTGCAGTGCCCATCACCCACGGCGCAGTGGTAAACTTCTCCATGGCCGACTTGCCCAGCCAACCCTACTATCAAGACCTGAACTCCAGCGTGGGGCTGCACCGCTCCCTGTCCTCCCCTCCTGGCAGGTCTGTCGAAGTTTCAGCAACAAGCTTTGTGGACAAACTGTGCAAACATCACAGCAGTGGCTGTGCTTTCTTGATATCATTATTAACAGAAATGTTCATGAGCTTCAATTTGTGCAGAAAATTGTTTGAGAAATATTCATTAAAGCAGAGACTTAGGGAAGAAGATTCATTTCTTGCCTGTTATTTAATATTTAGATGCAACTAGTGTAGTTTGCATAAAGACTGGGGACTACAGCTCTGTCCAAAGGCAGAAAGTCCTCTAAAGCTCACTAATTAGCATATTCATTCTCTCTTTTCTTTTATTTGGACAGAACTATGCTAGCTTACAGCCTTTATGCTAGGCTAAGCTAATTAACAGTAGCTTCATTTTGAGTATTTAGACATGACAATGACAACCAACAAGTGAGTGTAAACCGTTATGTGCCACCCATGAACCGCCAGCTGCCTCAAATCACGACAGACACCTCGCAGTCTTTGAAGTCGTGATACCAAAATGACTAATAAACTTCTTCCTGTCTCCAGCAAAAGGCCCAAAACTGTTAACATGGAGGAGAACATGGACACGAGCCCGACAGGACCAGACTTCTACTCGTCACCCAGCTCTCCAGCTAGCAGTCGGGCGAACTGGCACGACAGAGATGGAGGTGATTTCCCTTCTTTTATTTGACCACCTATGTTTGGGAGGTTTGTCGGGTGTGGATGCCCTGCGTCCCTTTCATACAGTTACTCAAACATTCAGCTTTGCCCAAGAGCATGTTGGCAGAATGTACTGACAGACAGGAGAGATCTTCATGTAAACACCTCAGCGCTCTGCTTCACTGCTGCCTCCCGTTTCACTGTGGACCAACTGCATCTGGTTTCTCGGCTCGTGAACTTGTTAAACCCTCCAACACATACCATGACAGGGAGTGCCTCGGGCACCGGCAGCATGCAAACGTTTGAATTGCTGTTTGAATGTAAATAATATTCTCCCACACCTGTCGCTTACACAAAGAAAACGCCGGCTTCTACTGTGCACAGCCCCCATTATAGAAACTGTTCCAGCTGGAATTTGCTTATTGTAATTACTGATAAACATGCTGTGACTTTTCAAACGTCAGGTGTAGCACACAGACACCTGAAACAGCTAGTGAGCGAGATTCCTGTTCATAAAGCTGATGTGGAGCATCTGGACTGAACTCTACAGAAATGATGTGGTGACTTTATTAAGATACAAAGGCCAGCCAATGAGCCGACACATAAGGTTGTTGAATCTGGAAAGAAGACCAGGCAGAAGTGTGTGTATCGTGCTCGTCTCAGAGAGACGGCGAGATCCTCGTGGGACACCTTGCATGTCTCATTACATGGTCTCCTGGTGCAGAGCAGAGCCCGTCGCCCTTTTAATTAAGGCCTTGCTGTCCCATGTTTCCGGATCATTCTCACTCTCTGCTGACTTCCCTCCACACACTGCTACACACGCGGCCTCTGGATTCAACCAACAGAGGCGATCGGAGACGAAGGAACCAGATGTCTGTCTTTCCTTAGTTTGTTTGGACTTTGTACGCCTCTTTTTTGTGTTTCTCCCCAGTCCTCTTTTTTTTTACTTTGAATATAATAAATAGGAGGGCTGATGCACAAAAGACAGGGCACTAGTGGGATTTAACCGCAGCCGAGGCCAAGTCAGACACTCGGGGCGAGGAGAGAGGCAAAGCAGTGGTAGGAAGCCCTCCAAAGACGGCCATTATTCTGTTAGGACAGAATAAATGAGAAGTGGGGAGATATTAAACCCATATGAGGCCTTCTCAGTGCCATGCAGTCGTTTCATTTGCAGATGGTTGTTGGACCAAACCTCACCGTGCAGTGGAAGAAGAATCTGTGGGACTGTTTCATTCATTTAAAACTAAATACTGTATATCAAGAAGACTTTCTGCATTTCTATTTAAACTCTTTAAAGTGTTTCTGTTAATTAATCACTCAGTCCTGTTGATTCTCTGAAGGATTTAATTACCGTAGCTGGTGAGAGGAAAAGCTGAATTCCTCCAGTGCGGAAAATATTTCCTATTTTTACATGGAAACGCTAAGCGGTGATATCAGTCTTCTCGAAGGCATTTCTCTCGCTGACACTGAAATAAAAGCACTTAAGCCTGTATCCTCTTGCAACCTCCAAGTGGGAAATCCCCCTGAATTCCAGCCACCTCTGTCGCCCTCTCCTCTGAATGATTCTTCCCGTCACTCGGGTGGATCCTTCCCTGTTGTCGGAAAAAGGAGGGAAGGAAGGTTAATGCTACAAAAATGCCCCAGAAACAGGGGTAACAGCATTTTTTAAGGGGGGAAGAGATGGATGATTTCAAAGTTTTACACCCAGGGAATCTGTGGCGGACCAGAAAAGCACTTGATGAATGTTTGCAGAAGGAGCACGAGCAGACATAGGCCGTTGCCCCTCACCCTTATTTGTTATCACGTTCCCTTCAGACACTGTCTTACCATGGAAAATTGAAAACCCACAGCCGTGACAGCAGAACATTGCTCATGAAAGTGTGGAGCAGCAATAATGAGCAACTTATGTGCATACTTTGAGTTTAGAGCTACAAAGATTTCACATCTTCTGCCGAACCTTGAGGATTATTTATGGGGAATCACAGTAGCTTGTCAGCCGGTGTGGCAGGCCGAGGCCAGCAGATGCCGCACTGTAATATTCTACTTAAGATTACGTGAGGGTCTTGAAATCCTATTTGAGTAACCGTGTGCCAGTTCACTGGACTTAATTGTCTGCTCAGACATGACAAACGCCACATTTGCACGGGACTCGTGTTTCCTGGGGATGTCCGGTGATCTGTAGTGATACCACCGATTATTCCTGATTCTGACCCTTTGCATTGTCTGTAATTTTTGAAGTATGTTTTCCATTGTCTGCTGCATTTGTGGAAGAAATACGTCCCCTGACATCACTAATCCCATGCAGATCAAATTCGGCCTAATTTCAACCATAATTCATTTTTGACACTTAATTCATGACAAATGAAAGCTTCAGGAGAATCTGTTGGGAAATTATGTGATTTGATTCTGCAACAAATCTACAAAAGGAAAAAGGATAACCTTGGAGTGCTTGTGAAGTCTGAGTGCTTTGAATCTGAGAATCTGTTCCACAAAACACACAAAACATGAATGTGCTTCCATCTAGTCCTGTGCACAGAGAGGTTATAGAATGGAAGTGTTAAACTTTAAGAATAAGGCAGGCTTCTTCACAGGCTCTGTGTTTTCCTGCCAGCAGACATGTCGTCTCCCACCATGAAGAAGCCAGAGAAGCCGCTGTTCAGCCCCACCTCCCCGCAGGACTCCTCACCCCGACTCAGCACTTTCCCTCAGCCTCATCACCCAGGCCTCACAGGTGTAGGACACAGTGGTGAGTTACTGAACCACTAGCCGACTTCTTCTCATAAATGCAGTTGAAAGATCTGTCGGTGCTTAATTTAGTTTGTAGATCAATGATGATCACGTGTCATGAATCTAAGTATCGTCCTCTTGACTCTTCTGTCTGTCTCTCTTGCAGTTATATCGACCAGGAGCCCCCCGCCGCACTCGCCGCTGCAGTTCTCAGCCTCGGCGATCCTGCCCCCGGCGCCGTCTCCCTACTTCTCGCACCCCACTATCCGCTACCCGCCCCACCTCAACCCTGCTGATCCCCTCAAGAGCTACGTGCCATCATACGACCCGTCCAGCCCACAGAGCAGCCAGGTCAGACTGGTTTTCTCGCCTTGTCTCTGTGACCGTGGCCTCAATTAATGATAAAATAAATTATAGGATGAATTCTCAGGAATAACAGCAAAGTCTTTGTAAAGCTGCATTTTTTAAGTCTAAACTCCAAAAAACATAAAAAAAATTATATTACAAACTGCAAACAAAACATTTTAAGCCTTGAACTGATCACGGCTTGGTGGGAGTTTGTTCTGGGAGGAAGCACAGACGCCTCCTGTTTTAATGCTGCCTGCCTTTATTGTAGGGACAAAGCTGGAGTTACAGCAGAGAGTTAATTCATTAGAATCATTTAGAGAATTATATTCCAGTAATATTAAATCACTAGTCATTTTTCAGGCAACCACAGACTGAATTTCTTATGTATTTTCTGTTTGATACATTCCCAGCCTTATACTTGTAATTGTGCTAAAAACACACACAGACACACACACACACACACACACACACAAGTTGATGACTCCATAAAGTCGGCCAAACTGCTGCAGAGACGAACAAAACTGCATCCAGACACTGTAGAAAGTGCAGCGCTTCCACAAGCTGCACACCGCGGCCACTGTTGGTGAGGGAGCAGGCGTCTCTACAGATGAGAGACCCGTGTGATATTTATGCGCGTTTTATATCCCCGCTGTTCTCACTGTAAACAAAGGCTTCGGAGATGGCTCCATCTCCAGAGTCGCGGGGGGGGGACTGTTACTCCAGAGAAGAACGGCGGGGAATGATAAAGGTTGTAAATATTTGCCGTTGCCGGGGCCCGGCTGTTGTGCAGAATTAACTGGCCCTCTGCTCGGGTGCCGGAGAAAGGAAGGAGAGGGGTGGAGGTGGGGTCCGGTAGGGGAGAAAGAGTGCAGTTGGGGGGGTGCTTAGCAAATAACACAGCTCTTATAATCCCATGGACGAGTGCCAGAATGTTTTTATGCTTGCTTTAACGCAGATTATATTACACTCTAATTAAAGATTCTATTCACATCAGAGGGAACCCCGTGGATACAGTTCTTTTCCAAAAAGGCCTGTTTGAGTTTTGAACTCGGGGCAGCCCTGAAATGAACGCCCCAGACAGTCTCCAGCCGTCTGAAAGAGTAGCCCCCACTAGCTTCCTTTATTTCCTTCTCCATATATATAGTCTCTCTGTACTCACACATTCACACCATTGAAACAGGCCGCTCCGCGGCTCTCTGTGCCTTTTCATGCCCGGGTCCTCCTAAATTCCATTTATGAGCACCATTAAAATCATTGTTTAAAATCATGTAGGAAATCCATGGCCAGTGACTGAGGGTCTATTGTCGCTTGTGCCCCCCAGAGTTTTAGTAACAACTGTGACAACGCAGTGAGTGAACGTAGTAAAAACCTTTTCTTCAGGCGGAGCATTAAGTGGAAGAGTCACCTTTTGTTGCTGACTTTATATTTTTCAAGGCAAACAGAGCAGTTGAGGTGAAATGGGCATTCAGTTTGTTTAGTGCTAACCATTCTGGAAAGCTGTAGTTTGTTCCACTCTTGTGCTGGTTTATTAAGATCTGCCCAACTGCACATTTACAAGCGAACAAGTGCTCGTAAACATTAGTCACTGGACTCGGTTTGCCTGCCTTCTCATGAGGTTAGAGGTTTAGGTATAAAGTACAAACTATAAAACAAAGGCAGACTTTGTATGTGCAACTTTACAAAAGCATTATTTTGAGCTGCTGTCACTTCTCAAGGTTTGTCAGTTCAATTGACATTTCAAGGACTGTTCCTGGACATGCTTTGGTTTTAGTTTTCATTTCTAGCACACCACACTGGAGCTGAGTTAAAAGACAGCTGAGACGTGTTAACCATTGTTTTTACCTTTCTAGACAAACTAAAACGAAAGCTGCTACACTCCAGAGATGGAGTAAACCGCTCCACACGTTTGGCACACAGCTTCCTACCCCCAGATTGTGTCCGGGAAAAAACATAATTCTAACCAGTTTCTGGGTCATACAGTTTCTTTTCAGTTGAGCAAAGAATTGTGACAGGAAGTGATGTCATCTCTCTTGCTTTTTTTTAATGAAAGTTGAGCGCAAGTGTATTATTGAACACTATTATATTATGAGAAGGACAGACGTAGCTGAGAAACTAATTGAAATGATCATTTCCCGGACTGGACCAGCTTGGTTTTGATTCTGCATCATTAGAAGAGTCTATTGGGAATTTTAGTGAGTGCTATGAATCAATGGTACAGTGTTAAAACTGTCGGCAAGTCTCAGTTTCGCAGGTTAACTGAACATTATCTCTGAAACTCGAGTGTAGTAATACACGACAGTCACAAGCTGGGGTTAACAACTCCCTTAAATCTCGACCAAATACAGTTTTTTGAAATGTAACCCCTGTGCTGAATTATTTCCTGTTGTGTGCTCTCCGCCTGCAGCCTAACAGCAGTGGTCAGGTGGTAGGAAAGGTCCCGAGCCACTTCACCCCAGTCCTGGCTCCCTCGCCACACCACAGCGCTGTGCGACCCGTCTCGCTCTCCATGCCCGACACCAAGCCCATCACCACATCGACAGAAGGTGCCCACTGCTGTTTGGTCACATCGACATCTTGTGTCCTGTTTTAATGTTCTGAACTTTTGATGCAGAATAGTGTTACTGCCCTAAAGAACAGTATTTCAGTTTCACTGCCCTCACTAGTTTAACATTGAGGGATATTTAACTCTATAAAACATACACAACACATTAGATCAAAACTAAAATGATTTTTGGGGACACTGATGCCATGTTTTTGTCAAAATATCCTAATGACTGAAAACTACGAGTGGGCCTGAAATAAAACCTTGCGGGGCTCCATGTAAGCTTTTTACTGGAGGTTGGAACGTTGATTGATGATTTTAAATTTATAGTGCACTCACTGTAAGTCACCTTAGAAAAGGGCAACAGCTACATGTGAGTTCCTGAAATGCCAGTTGTAATTCCAGCATGTTTTTGTGTTTTTGTGGTGGTGTGTTACCCAGGTTACTCAGCCCCCGGCACCCCGACAGCTAATCGTTTTGTAGGCCTGAGCCCTAGAGATCCGGCCTTCCTCCACCAGCAACAGGTGAGACCCTCCACCCCCTCAGCACTCAGCTCACCTGCTCCATTTATTCTGCTCCCCCACACCATCCTGTGACCCCTCCAAAATCCAGTCACACTGAATTTGATTTGTAGGAAGCGCTAAATTGTCTGGTTAGACCAGAGCACGTGTAGGCTGAGGTCAAGCGCTGTGCTCACTTTTGCAACACAAAGTTTTGGAAGGACTGAGGCTTAGTGCAGCTAAGATAGGGAGTCATAATCAAATCTTACTTGGCTTTAACTGTTTACTGCTGTTAACTTTTAGTGTTGTTAACCTTTGAGATTCAATTTGATAAGAAGCCTTGATGTTTAGAGGTCCTTAAATGACCTCCCATTTAATGCTTTCAGCACGTCCATTAGCTGATTTTGAGTAGATTATATCTGTTTTCCATAGCTAAAGGGTTTTGAACAATACATTTTTTAATCACAGTAATGAGTGCATAAAATAAAAATTAGATAAAAAGCACGTATCTCAAAACAACGCTGCTATACTTCCTTTATTTGTAGTATTGATAAAAATGCAAGGTGTCATTTGGCGTGAGTGTGTTTGAGTGGAAATCCCTCAGTGTAGAGAAGAAAAGGGCGTCTCCTCCCTGAGGCCTCTTTAAAGAAAGTTTTGGAGCCACTGCTTAGAAGATGGACGAGATGTGTGTGATGTGCACGACTGTGGTTCCTTCACACATTACTGTAGAAACTCACACACACCACATGCAATCAATACACTGAATATTTAGCATTGACGTCACGCACTTGCCCCAGCAGCCGCCTTAAGACAGATGTGGTGACCCCGTTTGTGCGCCCTCGAGGTTAGGAGTGTTGCAGTGTTGTCGGACGGGAGAAAGCGCTCTCCCCCACCCCGTCTTATTGAAAGCGCTGGTCTGAGTCCAAGGCTTTTCCAACCACAACTAATTGAATGCATCTGCACGCGGCTGCATAATGACGGCCGGGTTCTCCTCAGCTCGCTTTTTCAATGTTTAGCAAAAATGACAAAGCTGGCCTCTGTTTCCTCGCTCCTCTTTCTGTCTCTCTTTTTCTCTCTGCCTTTCTTTCCCCCATTTCCCCTAAAATCAGAGCAAAAAAAACAAGTCAGTGTTTGTCAGCAGTGGTGGGATGCTCCTATTCATCTGGGGAAGGAGAGAGGAGGAGGAGAGGGAGGATTCACTTGGCTGATGTCGCACAATCTTCCACATTTTCTGGTAGCCCTGCTACTACTTTGACTGGGACACAAAGTGACTACACAAGACAGCAGCGGTCTGAGGGAAGCTGAATTTTGTCCAAAGCTTTGTCCCCAGAGGCTAAAAACCATTTCTGTTCCAGATTTTGAAGCCAGATATATAAATATTCTCCTCAGCATGGAAATAGAAAATAAACTATTTACTGTTACATTTATTTGATCCAGTGCTGAATTATCTTAAAACACGCATCTGTGATCTTGTTGCACTGATGTGAAAAAAAACATATTATATAACAAAGGAGAGCGCATCTGCTCAGATATGTGGCTTAAATTGTGAAATTAAGAGTGAAAGGTTTGTAAGCACAGCTGTGACATGTTATATCCAGATTAATATATGCTCTTGTAGGCTTAAGGAACTATAAACAGTCTGCATGTTGATCGATTGATCGGGCTTCTGCCTGTCACTGTGGTTTTTATTCTCTGTGCTCTGATTTAACGGGCTGGGATGTGGCCTGGCAGAGTCGCACGGATAGACCTCGACGAAGGCTTTGTGCCGAAACACGTCAGTCGTTTATCTTTGCATTAAAGTTGCTCGGAACGCCGCAAGCGCTGCCAGACGTTTTGCTTTCCAGAGTCAGATGCCGAGCCAGGTCCGTCCAGCTACACACCTTCACCGACTATGATGTGATGTTTACTGTGCAGGAGGCTTTACTGTCACCCTCAGTTGTTCAGTTGCAGCCACATGTGGCCTGGTTCGGTAGGAAAGGGAAACACGTCACACTAGAATCAATCATTTAATAATACAGCCCATGCACAAACTGTTACTACAGTGTGAATTCAAACAATGATTGTTAATTCTATTATTTCATTAGTATAAAATAATTTAAGTCATCTAATAACTTGGTAGTAAAGCTTAAAACAACCCATTTCTCAGAGAAGATCCTATTCTGCAATGTGGCACCACCAAAATGGGAGTCCCTGGACACACACACACACACAAAGAGTAGGCTTCAAACATGGAACAAACAAAACACAAAACAACGCCACCACACGCTCCCACACCTGCTCTATGATTCTCAGGCAGCGAGTGTGTGAAAACCCTCCATTCATCTCTCGCCTTGGTTAACCCCTCGAGGGAATGCCACCGTCTAGCATTCCGCAGGGAAAGATCCGTGATCAGATGTCATTTGGTATTATCTAAGGAAGGATCCTAATCCACAATCTGCCCGCATCTGTTTGCTAACGTTCCCCGGCTCCATCCCCCCCTTCTCCCCGCTGCCTGTGCCACTCTGATGTGCCGGTGCCAGCGGACAGATGGCGAGCCCCTCGAGGAGCGGTGGCACCGAGCGTCTGGCCCAACCCGCACATTCTCTCCAAGCTTTTGTCAGGTTGGAGAGCGCGGGAGCTGCGTGGGGGTTTATTCTCCCAGCCTCTGATAAATACACAGAAAGCACAGAGGATGGAACAACATGCACTGATGGAAGGGTTTTACATTATTGGAAAGCTTTTGATTTCTCTGAGTTAGTCACTAGTAAAACTCTACTTCACATTTGTCCCAGAAAAACCACGGCTGCCTTCTGATGTGTTCATCCAGGTGCTTGGAGGAAAAAGAACACATTTCTTGACCGCTGCAAATGGCTCTGAATATTCAGTGTGCGCCTATGTCTGATTAAATCCCTTTTAAGAGCCTCTGCAAAACGTCTGCTGCTGCAGCAAGACTGCTAACAGTGCAGTTTTATCCCAGTGCATTACTAAATGAATGTGTTGACCACAGGGCAAGGTTAGGTTGTATCGGCAGAGGTAGCTCTCAGCTGGATTGCAGACACGTGTGCTCGTATAATGCATGCGAGGAGAAGCGGCTTGTGTGTGTGTGTGGCTTTTTTGTTGCAGTAATTTGTGATCTGGATGTAAGGTTGGCTTGTCTAAAGAGAGAGGGTTTGTGTGTGTGGGGGGGCTCTTTAACTTCATTGCAGTTTTGACCCCGAATCAATAAAAACAGTTAGCTAATGAAAACCCAGTCTGCATGCTTGACGGCGTGCGTCCTCCATCCTGAATGTGAAAGTGCACTTACAGTGAAGCGCATGCGTCCCCGGGAACGCATGGCCTCACCTGTGAGGAACCACTCGCAGATGAACAACTCACATTTTGTAACTGACTAACTGCGTTTTTTGCTTCCAGGTTAGCTGCCACCACTAACTGTAACTGCATGCTCTTTCTTTTATGCCTGTTTATAATTTTGATTTGACTGTTATCTCCCCCAGCAAATACTGATTCACTTATTTCATGTTGTTGGTAACAGCTAGGACTCATTTTCAGTCCTTTTTATTTGTGCTGCCTCTGCTCTATAGGCTCTTCTGCATGCATCTGTGTGTATACAGTATTAAGTTGTAGTGTATTCTGAAGTGGAAGTTGTCTTGGCCCAGTGATCTGACTGCTAGGTTTCAATTGACAGCTGAGGAAGTGTGACTGGAGCGTGACTCAAAACGGCAGGCATTATGGCCCCAGTGCCACTGACGACACTTTGGGGATTACTTGGCAAAGGTAACCTTTTCATTCTTTCATGCCGTCTCTCTGTCTCCCTCACATCACATGTACACACACTCGAAAAAGTTAATAATGTATTGTGTGATTGTTGGGATTGTCTGCTCCTCACATTTCAGAAAATCCCATATTCTGCATTTAAATATGTAAAATGACCTGGTCAGTCGCTGTGACTGTTGCTGTAGTGGTAGAGTCTTTTGGACACCCCTTTCACCTCCCTTCTCTTCCTTCACATATCTTTTCCTCCCTTTAATTTGACTTTTTCTCCTTAAGTGCATTCTGTTGTTGTCTGGTCAGGCTCTTTCAGCCCCGCTGCTGCCACAGATGACTGGTTCATTTCTTTATGTTGTCGGTGTATTCATTGCTGTCAGGATGGAGAGAGAAATTCAAGAAATGTAACCAAAACAATGCTTTTGAAATGAATCGTTACCTTTGACTTAGTGGAGCTATAGTTTAGCCTTTTTTCAGCTAGCCATTTCCCCAAAGGAGATAAGTGCATGTTTTTAAGTGCTTCATAAAATACAGTCAAATCTTTAGAAAGTAGAAACTTAATTGGGAGAAATCAGTAAATACTAGAACTTTAATTCTGTCATAAACACATTTCTTTGCTTTTCCTGTTCTCTATTGCAAGATGACATGAAATGATCCAGCTTTAGCACAAAGCTTTCCACATGGATCCACACCCACCAGAACTAAATGTTCACATTTCATAATACAAACATCACGTTTCAAACTATTAGAACAGATGATGTTGACAGAGCAGCTGTCTAAATTAGCAGCTGTGTGAGGATGTTTTGACAAACTTTATATATGACCTGATAGTGAAGTCATACTTTACTCTCTTCAGCCTAAAGATCTAGAAACCCCCACCCCTTCGTTTCCATACGGTGTCTCTCCGTCTCTGGGGGGAACCGGGACCATTTCACTGTGGCAGAGCGAGCAAGCCGAGCTAAGCCTTTTCCTGTTAAGTCTCCCTGAAAGCGTAGAGCATCTGTGTGTGTGAGTGTGTGTGTGTGTGTGTACAGCTCCGTTCTGCGTCTGCTGAAGTTAGAAACTATTTTACAAACACAGAGCCCCTTCAGCAGGCCTCCTAATAGACCAGTGGAGGCAGCAACAACTCCAGCTCTCGTTCCCTCACACGGCCGCCAACGCCTCCTCTTTTGTCCGTGCGAGTGTACAGTAATGAACGCAGATGAAACAGGTCCCAAATGAATTTAGTTTATTTTGTTACAGGGATGGGATGGTAATTCTATTATAGTTTGATGGATTATTCAGGGAAAACTGTTATATATATCCGGAATCAGTTGGATGTCTCTTTCTTTTCTTGCTTGGCCTTTGAATGATGCGCTCCGCTGTGCCTCTTCAGGACTAGCCCTCAAATTAAAATGCTGCCAGACTTGCATGTTGCCATTGTGCAGGAAATGGGTCAGCAATCCATTAAGATGCCATTAGATAATCTAATTTAGGGAGCTAATCCTTAAACGAAGCACACTGTATGCCCAGGCTGTGTTTGCAGGCAGTGGAATTAGTGACGTTTGGATGGGGCAGAGGGAGGCCATCTTGGTTATCTAAGGTTATCTAAGGAAATGCAGTGATGTAGGTCCACAGCCGCTATTCGAGTGCTGGAACATTAAGCAGCGACATATATAGAAGCAGCAGCATTTTTAAAGCTGTGCTGGTGAATTTTGGCAGAGAAGGGAACTGCTTGACAAATATGAACAACATTACCCAGAATTCTTAGAATGTGGCATCAAAACACTGCATTTACAACCTGGCCAGTGTGTGACTTGGCTTATGGGAGGCAGATCTGGACTGATGGCCGTGGATTCTAACGAGATTAAAACAGATCTAGTGTGCACACAGGCCTGTAGCTGTGTGGTCCCACTAGTGTAAGCCATTACCTGAGAGGAGTTTCATAAGGAAAAAGAAACCGAGACAGATGGAAGGAGCGAGGTAGGAAGAGAGAAAGCTGCAGCCCTCGGCCGCTCTGTGCTCTCTTTGTTCTGCAAGGTAGGAAAAACTTAATCCCCCGTTTCCTGTCCGATGCTTTTTGGCAAAGAGAGGAAGGGAGAGAAGAAAGCATGAGGGTTGGACAGGGGGAGAAGTGCTGGAGAAGATTAGCAGCCCTGAGGTTGTTTTACTCTTTGGACACTGAAATCTTTAACTTGAGTGATGTTTGTTTTTATTTTGATCTTCTCTGTCCTCCTTTCACTGTTTTTTTTTTTTTTTTTAAGGAGTCTGGTTCTTTTAGGACATGAGGAGAATTGAATTAGCACTTCCTTTGTTTTAAGTAAAAGAGCGGTGACGAGTGATTTGTATAAAATGCAGACTGGCTGAGGAGTTGCTTTCATGAGTGCAGACAGTGTTGTCTGTTGTCGTGAAGCTTCACAAAGAATCAAGTGTGCGCTCCACCTCTGCAGACCAGCATCTTCAGTCTTTAGCCGTGTCTGAGTTTTCCTATTCTTTTTTTCATCATCCATGTTTTCTCTTCTACCCAATCATTTGTTCATGTCAACTTCTTTTAACAGATCCTCACCTTCTTTGTCCCACAGTCGTCCTGCTCTTCATCTGTTCGGGTTATAGCTGCTGCCACACACATTATAAAAGTTTATCACTGGAGCAAACACCAAATGTGCGACACAGGTACTCTCCTAGCAGGGGAGGATGTGGGGGGGGCGCGCGCGGGGGGGGGGGGGGCTAATTATCTCACATGTACGTAGCGCAGCGCCCCTCGGGAACAACATGCTGTTTGTTCCCACTTGCATTTTCAGTTAGCACCGTCGCTCCCTGGGAACAATCACTGTGTTGTTTTGCCATTAGCGTGAGATGAATAGGGATGGGACAGCTTTGTGTAGGGACCCCCAGCCCCACCGCCACCAATCACACTCTCCCCCCTCATGCTTTTCTATACTGTCATCAGTGCAGAGATGTGGGCCTCGTCGCGGTCCTCTCACATGAGGAATCAAGTGGAATCACCTCAGCTTAGATTGACGAGCTAGCGCTGGCGTTTCTTTGTCTGAACAAAACAAGACCTTGAGCTGTGGCGAATGCTGGTCATTAACCAAGCAGTGTTCAAAATAACAGAAAGAATGTGATTTTGACTACACAAGTTGATGGCATGCAGCTAATCTCTCCACCCCTGTCTTTTGTGCTCTCTCCACAGTCCTGGTACCTGGGCGAGCTTAGTTCCATTTCAAGTGTCGAACGGGACTCCGATTCTGCCAGCAAATGTCCATCAGAACTACAGCATAAACATCATTGGTGAGCCCCTGGTCCCCGCTGAGACAGGGAACTGAACACAGAGGCCGGACGACCCCACCCCCAAGGTGGATGGATGGGTGGGTGGGGATGTTGGCGGTGCAGATCTAGCACTACAGGTGTCTGCAGCCATGGATGAAACCAGCAAAGCAGCACAAGCTGCACAATCTTTCCCCCAATCCCTCCCCCAACTCCTGTCCCCTTCCCTGGCCATGAAGTGAAGGTGAGGGTCGGTTCAGCGGAAAGAAAAAAGGCAACGCTTCAGGTCTGCTGTCTCCTCGCCCAGCTCACACACCCTCCCCCACCAGTCAGTTGCTGTGTTTGCAGAACTTTTCAATCCATTCAAATACTGTGATGTATAGATGCCTTAATGTTTTATTGCATGACACTCTAGTCTCTTAGCAGCAATTCCTACTATTTTTTAATGTCGGGAAGATGTAAAATCTTGATTTACACACACACGTACACACACAAGTGAAGGGGCCTGTGCATCGACGGCCTCTGCCTGGTGGACGGCTCCGAGACTCTAAGCTCTGCGACCTCTTGAAAAGAGGCTTTCCCACGTCAAATGATTCACTGTGTTACACCATAGGAACAAAAACTTGTAAATTCAGTGTTTTCTCTTTCTGTTTGATTTCAGTTGACTGTGATACCGCTCTTTGTTCAGAGAATGTGTTGACTTTGTTTATTCTTTACTGCTACTTCAAGAGTTAATGTAAACACTTATGTAAGAGTTGAGAACTCTTAATGCGGTTTTCAAAAAACACTAAATGTCAGGCTTGAGATTGGACCCATCGGTAAATAATTAGCAACTCCTTTACGAAAGGATTTAAAAAGACAGAGTAAGAAAATCTCAGTAGAGGCAAGTGCAATTGAATTTTTGAAGGGAAGCTATCAGTCTGTCGGCCCTAAGACTCTAAAGGAAGGGGATAACTATGAAATGGTTTTATGGGTAAAATGTTTAAGAAAAAAAATTGAATTTGATTTCAGTTGCATATCCGTATCCTCAGATGAGAAAACCATTAACGCAGTTGGGTGCTGAGCAAAGCCTGTACCTCTTTGGAGCCCTTCTCATCACTATGGGGAGTTTGTTTTTATTTATTCTGGGGAAATTCGTAACTGAACACAAGTAAAAAAAAAAAAGAAAAAGAGATGTAATTCATTTACAAGCATATGCATTTGGCCCTCAGCTTCAAAAGCTTATGTTTACAGGAAAAAAATACAGAATGCAAAGTTTTAATTCATGGAAATATAGAATTCATGCAAATGTACAGTCGGCTTAAAGCTACAGTGGAAGAGGTTGAAAACTGAATTTATGAACGCAGGTGGTGGCAAATCCCTGAAATCTAGAATTGTGCATGGCATGTTCGCAGCCATTGCCTCTGCTCTCCAGACACATCCATCCAAGGAAAATCTCCCCAGTACTCTTAATTTGCACGATGACATATAGTCCACATTACGTGCCTTGCCTTTGAATATAGAGACGTCACTACACTTGTTTTTGCTGCATTTATCATTATAGAAAAAAAATTAACATTTTTATGATAAGAATTGTTTTGTACTCTGAATGAAATTGTTGATTTTTAACTTCATGTACTACTCTATCTCACACTTACATTGCATATCAAGGCTGTGTATAGTTGCCGTTTTAAAGTTTGTAATCAACCAGCATTTTTATTTTTTTTATTTTCAGTATTTTGGTGGTTTTTCTAATAACCTGTCATCTTTAGTTTTCTTTATTTTTCAGTGCTCATTTTGTTCATCTTCCAGTTGCTATTGTTGGAGGGTGGAATTCAGAGTTATGAAAATTATGCAATACCAAGTTTTGCCTATGTAGGTAGTGCTTAATAGATGCGTCAATTATTAGAGGCTAGTTTGGAGATAGATAATATTGTACTGCATTTATTTTGTTGATATTGTTGTTTGTCGTCGTTGTTGTTGATGATGATGATGTTGTTGTTGTTGTGGGTCTTTTCCTTTTTTATTGACCAAAGTGGGGACTGCTTTCTATGCAGTGTATGACAAGGTCTGTTTTCTTTTTATTTTGGTGTGTAGGCCTACAGTACCGATAGACGGTGAGACATGTTCCAGTGTATTTTGAATTTGGGAGTTTTAGGGGGAGGGGTGGTATTTTTTCTAGAAGTGCATATAAAAAAAATGCACCCTTGGTCTTGATATGGCTGCAAAGTCACTGATTGGTCTACTGTGACGCTTACTTTCAACTTTCCACCTGGGGTGCTAGGGTGTGACCTTGAGGAAGCTCATTTATTCACAGGAGAGACGGCTTGACTTGAGTGCGACAATCATTCTGAGAAATCATTTTGCGCAGAATCCCGTTCTGTCGTGGATCGCTTAAAGATGCAGTGTGTAAGATTTAGTCCAAGCGTGAGAGAGCCCACGGTGGCCGTAAGGTGCCACGTTGTCGTCTATGACCACATCAAGTGTGAAAAGATAGCTATATATTAGGCATTGCATTTCTTGTGACATCACTAAATTCACGCTGCTACTGTGAAAATACAAAACTCCCTCTTGAGAGCCAGTGTTTGGTTTGTCTGTTCTAGGCTACTGTAGAAATGTTGTGCAACATGGCACACGCACCAGAAACTCGATCCGTTTTACACTTTGCAGCGATTAAGGGTAGGGCAAGATGATCACATGAGACGATACAACACTGCTGTTAACGGCTTCTTTTCTCATGTGTACAACAAATTGGGTTGGCAGTATGGATCGGCTAATTATTAAGGGTGGCCACAGCACCACCGCTCGGCCCCTTTAGCTGGTCTTTCCCAGTGGCCACTCACGGTACTGCAATGAAAAATCACCTTGGAGCCCAAAAAGCATTTTCTCCATAGACCACAGTGGTAAGAGAGACATCTGTGAAACTGTTGACAGGATTTTTTTTTTATCCATGATATTGTCTTTGTAGAACTTTCCCAGAGCCTCGATGATTCTTATTTTTCTGGTGATCACACACTAATGGGCACTCCTATATTCCATTTCTCCTAATGGATCCCTTTAAATCTTACACACTGCATCCTTAAAGCTGCAACCGAGGGCGGATGTTGTCGCGTCCTTTTATAGAATCCTACGCCGTACAAGTCGAGACATCATCAAATGCAATTCCCAAGTAGATGCCTTAAACACGTCAGCGAAGTGGCCTGTGACCTGCGCAACAATCACACACCGACTAATGCTAGTGAGGCCTGTCCAAATCAGCTCCAGACAGACTCAAGCAAGCCTTTAGAAAGTGTTTTCTAAGTAGAAAATTTGTATAAATGTATATACGATATGCACTTATGTCGATCCCTGAGCTACTTCCCCCAGCAGAGAGCCCCATAGAGGGGCCTGAAGTAGACACTGGGCCACAGAAGCATGGTGCTTTCTTACTTCATGTCCAGTGGTGTGATAGATGCTTAAATAGAATCCCCTAGAAGAAACAAATAGCACCTAAATAGCACATAGGCAATCTTCTCCCCCCTTACACTGTTTTGACCCTAGTCTCAAACTAAATCTCTCAGGCGTATTACAGGGCATTATTTATATCAATCATAATCTTGCCATTTCTAATGTAAGAAATAAGAGGTTTTGCCCTAGAGGGAGCGGCGCCGTTGCTTCCAAGCCACCTTTAGCGCTCTTTCCCCACAATCGTGAAAGAAACGCCTCCCTCAGAGAGACGGTACTAACGAGAGCTCTGGCGCAAGCAGAGGGCTGAGGAGCAGAGAAAATAATCCTCGAGTCAAGCTCAATCTCTCCATCTTCACCCAGAGTTCTTATGCAGGAAAAACAGAAAAAGTCACCCCGTTCTATGTGCACTGTTCTGTTTTCATTTTTGTCGTTTTATTCTTTTCTTTATTTTAGAGAAACTAAGTGCTTTGCAGCCTTTGGCCATTGGAGACCCCACTGAAGTGCATTGTCCCCAACTGTGTTTGTGAGTGAATGTGTGAGAGAGTCAGGGTCACTGTGCTGTTGGTGTTTTACTGAATAGGAGACTGTACATAAGGGTAAATATCCTGGTTGATAGCGGTAGACTGTGGGGTTAAACTCTGCTTTGGCAGCTTGAGTGTGTGTGTGTGTGTGTGTGTGTGTGTGTGTGTGTGTGAGACGTAGCGAGCTGGATGTGCAATCCAGCACCTCTGACACAGTGAGAGAAGATGAGGGTCTTTCTATCAGAAAAAAGGAGTTTGTACACTGTAAACTCTCTCGAGAGTTCTTCTCTGGAGCCCTTATTTCTAAATCTTCAATTCCGGGGAAAATGAGCCAGTTCTGTTTTAGGAAAAACAAATGTGGGTTTATTTATTTTGGAGGATGGATTTGAGTTAGAACTCTCCGTGTTTCCCCCGATTAGTATGTTCCTGTATGTAAAGTCAAAAGAGGCAGGAAACATTCTATACAGATCCATAAGTATAAAAAACAAAAACAATGACGGTTTTAAAAATTCTTATTAGTGTGATTTCTGAGCTTGGTTAATGCCTGGATATTTCCATTTGGGAAAACACTTCATGAATATTTGAATTGTTCTTTCATTAGTGTGGCCATAGAGTGTGATGTGGTTTATCTTTTTTTTTTTATGGGTGTGAATTCTTGTCCAACAAGACGCCAGTGGGAGTGTGTTTGTCGTAGCAGCTGGGAGGTGATGTCGTCGAACCTGTAGAAAAGGCCCCAGATTGCACCTGACCTTAACAAGAACATCCTCAGTGAATCTGTCAGTCTCTTCATATTATCGCAGGACGCCCGGTGCTACATCTCGCCATATTTCTGATTTGGCTTGCCAAACCTGAGCCATCAAACTGGTTCGAAGATCAGTAAAGGCATCAAGGCATCACTCATTTTGTGCTTGCCACATGCTGTCTATGCCTGATGTCACGTAGGAAACCCTCCATTCACGCTGCAAACAAACGGGTGCTTCAGAATAGGGTACTGCACCTTCCAGCTGATCCTAGGTAGTGTATTTGGACATGTCTTTTTATTGCTACGCACGGTGTGATTGTAGCCTGTCAGACAGCTCTTGAAACTTTATGAAATCTGAAACAGTGTGTCACCCATCAGCAGGTTCAAGAGCCTTACTTAAAGGCCAAGACACTCACAACGACCTTATTGGAGAAAGTATTATGTCACTGATCACAGCGATCATCGAGAACAAGAACATTATGCAAGGAGGACCTGTGGCACTCATGCAATATGTGTGGCTTTCCTGTCACACGTTCATTAGGGACTGAGAGGGCGTATACACGCAGAGGTTAAAAGTTCATTTTCATCCTACATGAGCAATACACACCTTCCATACGTTGACTAGCTGCTAGTCACTTGGCATCAGGTTGTTATAAAACATGAAAACCAGCATTTTTACAGGATGTAACATTCACCAAAAGAAGACAAAAAGAGCAATGCAGTGCCTGTTCACGATGTCCAAGTGTCTGTTGTATATAACTGTAAAATATGATAGACTTACTTTCATATGTGACGAGAAAAAAACTGCATCACACAGAAGAGAATGTGGCAAACCCATCTGGAAATGTATTATTACTGCTCGGGTGTTTTTGGAGCTTTTTGTGATTTATTAAGTTTCTTCTTTTGTCAGCGCGCGACGCCCACATCAAGCTTGTTCAGAATATGAGAGGAAATGCTTGTTCTTCTTCGTTTGCTTTTCTTTTTTCTGGGAGGGGGAGCGGGGCAGGGGGGGTCAGTGCTACGTTAGCGCAGTGAACAGATGAATTCATGTCTTTTCTTAAGATTAGTCACCAGTTTTCTCTGCAGGGCTGATTTGTGTTTGGGTCTTGTGGCACTTTTAATTCCCTCTACGCACACATTTATGAATTGTGGTGGAGTTAACGAACAACAACAACAACAACAACAACACCAAAACAATATGTAAACAGTCTCCAGAAGTGATCGTAGTTACACTGCAAGTGTGTGCAAAGGTCTATGTATGTATCTGAATGTACGTTTTAGAGGACTCTTTGGAAACCTTGTTTTGTTTGTTTGTTTTTTAATCTTTTCTTTTGCAGTTTAGGAGTCACAGGTGTCCATTGTGAACTGTATAGCGAAGGCCTTGATATCCCTTCTTTTATTGATTTTAGAAACGCCGAGCATTAGGCGATGCCTTCAAACTGGTTACGTTTGGTGCAGGGGCTAAAATTGCCACAAGATTAAAATCAGTGTAAATAAAGGCTCAACTTTTTGTGATTGTTACTGTTATATCCAGCCTATATTGCTAGCGGCTGTTTTTACTGCAGTCAATTACTGGAAGTGGATATATTTCCTATGCAAAACTGTTTAAACAATAAAATGAGCTATGCTACAAAAAGGACTTTTGTATTATGGTTCTTTGTTATTTTTTCATATTTGATTTTGAATGACTGTAAAATGAAACCTACAAAAGTGAACCTGCTAAGTCCAGCCAGGTAAAATACAAGAAATACTGATTTGTTCTTTCTAATTAAAGGACTGGATACAAACAGCTGAGCAGAGAAGAGGCATGTGTTTTCTCATCACACATTCATCCTCCCTGTGTGAGATAAATGTGGCTCAGCAGGTAGCGCGGGTCGTTTCCTAACCACAAGATTAGCGGTTTGATTCCCAGCCTGTCCAGTCCACATGTCGAAGTGTCCTTGAGCAAGACACTGAACCCCCGTTTGCTCCCAGTGATGTCAGCAGTGCGTGAGTGGCCAAACATTGTGAAAGCGCTTTGAGTGGGCTGCAATGGATAGAACGGTATAAGACCATAGGACCATTTAAAAATGAAGAGGTCAAATTGTTACATCACAAATGTGGCCTTGGTTTTGATAGTTAAACTTCTTTGGAACCAGGAAGTCTGGAAGAAACATCTCCAACGATTCAAGAATCACGCAACTGATTTGACTATACCAAAATATAGCATCACCTCATCTTCATATATATGTTTTTCCTATATATGTCTATTATCTATATATTTTTAATCTAAGTTTAAAAACTACTGCGGTGATCAAGTCTATCTGAAGCCATAAAACTGCTGCCTGTGCTTAACTGGAGCAGCTCGGCTTCAGAATTTTATGTGCACCATCATTTGGAGCCTTTTTTCCTGGACTCCACTGAAAACATTAATCACCCTGGAGAAGGTGTCACTTTTTCTGCAATATTATTAATAATATAATATAAGATTCAACCTTCTTGTTGCCCACAATTTTCCTGCCTTATAGCGATGAGGAAACCTGTATTATAATATAAAAACTGTTGCAACGTTCAGCGCCACCTCACTCGAGGTAGCCTCTGAAACCACACTGAAAGAGGAAAACTATTTGTGCAGGGGTGGAATAAGGACAGTGTCAGATCAGAGGAAAGACGATTGGCTTTAAGAATTAAACTAATTGGATTTCACTGATTCTCTAAAGTGTATCTGTGACAGTTTCCCCGGAACACAAAGTCTCCATGTCCTGGAGCGATCCCATGACTCCACGTGCCTGTGCTCCATCGTGGTAGTGCTCCAGTTATTCTACTGTAAAAGCCTAATCCTTGGGGACTAGGAGGTAGGGTCAGTCTGCTGGGACCTCGGAGGTCCAGGGTTACTTTGTCAAGCACTTGAAGATCTGATCTAAGCCTTTCTAATGAGACTGAGGACAGTGAAGGAGGCAAAAGTCAGGCTAAAGCACCAATTAAGTCTCATTACGGACCTGTATGATGGGCTCTGGACTCAGCTGGGCACTTGAGGACAACAAGAAGCAGTGTCAGTGGAGCCAACAGGACCAGGTGCCCCGTCCACAGCAGGGGCGCAGTGGCTGGATGAGGTACTGCATGCTGAACACCAGGCACAGAAAAGCCCACCTGGCCTAGGGCACAAACCGGAGTTCATTTGGCTATCATTAAAGAAGACCAACAATGTGGCACGCTGATATAAAATTACCCAATCTATAATGGTAATCATTAGGCCATTTATCAAAATTGGCCAGTTGAGTCAACATCTGGTTTCAATAGGGGGGCTCTAGTCGCTGAGGGTCTTGGCAGCAACTTGTATGCTACATATTTTCCCCTCTCTTTTATCAAGGCCTGTCAGTGATTTGACGAAGCTAAATAGATGATGATTTGGCCCTATTATATATCACAGGGCTCAAGCTAAAGGGATTTGTGGATTTTTTTTCTCCCTCTTCTACCAGTATGAATCCAGGAAAGGTAACATCACCATGTGCTTCTTCACCATGTGTCTGAATGTGTACCAAAGGGAGGATGGAGTGGGGAACAGCACACTCACACAAACCTGTGAGTGCACAGGCTGGACCCGGCTGCTGGACACAAGCCAATGCCAGCACAAAGAACTCTGTCACATCCCCAAGTTTTATGGGAGGAATATGATATTCATCTTGTGTGCCGCTGAATCAAGCAATGAATTACTCTGGCATCAAAGTAGGAGTGTAATGCACTTTATCTACCAGGAAGTCGTTAAGGCAGAATTTGTGCAGATTTCTCAATGGTTTATGACAAAGAGAAGGATTTATATTGTTAACGTTTGGAGAAAACAATGTCAAGATCACAATTTTAATACAGAAAGGAAACAAAACATTAGCTTCTTTGAAACAGATATTTGTCAAAGTGAAACACCACAACTAGAGGTTTCAGAAACCAGACGTTTAAAGGAAC